TTCTGGACCCCCAAAATTTACCGATTCACTTTATTGCTTAGATGTATCAAGTTGATTATCTTGAATTATTATTAAAGTTATACTGTTAAAAATCAGGGATAATAGTTTTGATTCTTTTTGATAGAGGCACCATTAACTGGAACTCTGTATGTGAAGTTCACAATTAAACGTTTACTCTCTTACCCTCATTTATGTAGCATATTATGTCAGAAGACTAAAAGAACAAACAATTTTATGTCTTTATTTTGTTCCTTTCCATAGAGCTAATTGAGTTAGAATAGTTCCTTAAACAATTGTGTCTGTAGACCTTGAATTTCATTTATGCACCTTCTGTAAGTAAGACTATAGGTGGGGAAGCAAAAGATGTCTATTTTTCCTTGCTTGTCATATAAAATCTAGAATTTAGAAATGGTTCTGGCTTGATATATCTATCTAATAAACATTTCCTTTAACGCTTGTATATTGAAGGTAAGAGTCCATTCAGGATACAGTTGTAGGCCCCTTGTACTGTTTATTCCATTTCTCCCACCATTTTTCAAAGGGATATATGGCTTATTATAGTGTAATGTTAGGGAGGGAGTACTACTTGTGACACGGGCCCTGGGAAGTTTATGAGAATTTTGTAGAAGCTGTCCCTCAGATATTGTCCGACTTCTGTGGCTTGGGAGGAAGTGATAAAGACTAAAATCTAAGATCCTCATCCATGGATATAGTGGAATGAAGACCCAAATCATGCAGAACTAGGGGACCAACTGTGTTATAGACAGGGGCATTGTGTAGAACTGACAGCAAGTGTCGGAGACTAACTGGTACCTGTCTGCTCAGAATTAGAGATAATGATTTAATTTTGGAAGTGAAAAACAGGCAGTAATTGTCTTCAGACAAAGAAAATATTTATGGTTAGCAGGTGTTTTAGTGATGGGAGACTCTTTCAGTTTGAACCAAAGTGGGGATAGAGTGTCGGTGGTCAGAAGAATAGGGTAGGGCTCTGAGGCAAATGGCATACAACCAGAAAATGAAGACAGAGTCTGTGGTACAGGCTGTGTAAACAGTGAGAATTGGCAGAGTAAACAGGGATGCTGTAGCTTGAAGAACGCAGTTAAATATTTTCGACTAGTTTGCTTAATTCAAAACAGCTCAGAAAATATTTGTGAACATCTGTGACGCATAAAGGGTCAGTTAGACCCTGGGGATCAATAGAAAGACTACTACAAGGAAGTTCTTACCATTTGTTGCTTAGAGTCTTTGAAAGATATAGACCCAAAAATAGCAGAATTATGTAAGTTCCACCATATGAACATCAACAAAATCATGTATTTTGAATTTCTTGCAAAAAATTAAATTTTAGGTACTTGTCTTAGTCTGTTTTGTGCTGCTATAACAGAATATCTGAGACTGGGAATTTGTGAAGAACAGAAGTTTAGTCTTACAGTTCTGGAGGCTGTGGAGATCAGGGCTCTGACATCTGGTGAGGGCCTTCTTGCTGTGTCATGCCTTGGTGGAGGGTGAGAAGGTGAGAGCAAGAAATGAAAGGGGGCCGAACTCATCCTTTTATCGTGATCCTACTTCCCCGATAATAGCATTAATTTGTTCACGAGGGCAGAGCATTAATGGCCTAATAACCTATTAAAGGTCCCGACTCTCAATACTATTACAATGGCGATTAAATTTCAACATAAGAGTTTGGGAGGGGAAAGATATTCAAATCATAGGAGTAGTGGAGAGGCTTTGAGGTTTGAAGGGACGTGGTTATGCTTAGAGTCAACTCCTGTTGTTTGCTTAAAACAGGTTACTTTTGGTGGAAGTATAGTGGTTGAGAAATGATGAGGGCCAAATGAGGGATGGTGGCTCTGGAACTGTGAGAGAATGAATGGATCTTTACCTTTAACAGGCAACCAAAACCCACTTGGGGAATAACAGAATTCCGTAAAAATCTTACAACCAGATTTATAACTCACATGACCTGGAGGGCCATAGCCCCCTTGCTACTTCTTGCTCTTCCTAAGAGCATTGTGACAGACATGACCTACAACAGGAGGGAAGGGGGCTCATGATGTTAATGCTGAGGCTGATTGTGGTCTTTTTCATTGGCTCAGTGTATAGGAAGATTTTGTTGCCTTTTCAATTGAATTGGGGAATTGGATATGCAGCTGTTTTCAAAGCAAGACTGTGCTCTGATAAAAATCATTTCTATCTTCAACAGATTTGGCCAGTAGAATTTAAAAAATAAAAGGAGGCTCTTTCTAAAACATCCTAAGAGGTTAAAAAGCTTTTTATATTGTGATAGCTGTAGACAATGATTTCAATCTGTATTCTAGCAGTGAGGAGGAACATTCAGGGATCAAATATCTTTCATGTGTTTTTTATCAACGTTAAAAAAGTGTGGTTATTAAAAGGACAAAAGATGTGGCAGTGGAGTCTGTTCAGGAAAAGAGTGTGTTCAGGGAATATCAGGGCAGTGACTCCTGTTTTCCACCTTCCTTTTCCTAACTCTCCTTTCTCTGTTTAGGGGGAGAAATATGTATATACATTTATAATGCACAACAAATCATTTGATTTTTGAATAAGAACAGTACAAAATGTGTTCCTGGCATTGATGTACATCATATATTAGATGTGTCATGGCAGTGTTCTAATTTTGCAATTGTCCAAAATGGAGTTAGGGCCCACTGGCTGACTATGCATGAAACTCCAATGTTCACATTTCAAAGAAACTTAACAATTTTACTGATAATACCAAACGCATCCAAAGAAATTTTCACAGAAAAGAAAAGAGAAACTAGCAAGAAAGAAAAAAAAGAAGGAACCATCATGATATCATCAGATACTTACTGTGCATCTATAATAACCCTGAAATTATAGTCTGCATTAACTCCTTTGTTTCTTATCTGACTCTTCCACTATATTGTAGCCTCCATCACTGACAAGAGATTTTTCCTTTAGTGGTATGTACCCTGTGGAAGGTGTTTAATAAATATTTGAATAAGGAATGAATATTGATTAAATTTTGCATCTACTTTGGCTATGGCACTCGGTAAAAATAATAAAAGCATATAATGGTTATGAAAATCATTCCTAGAAGTTTGTAATTTGAACTGGTTAATATGGATATATATAATAGATATTTTGTAGGAAAAGGTGATAATATCATATAATATATATTTTGTAGGAAAAAGTCAGTGATAGTGCAGGTAAAGAATTATGCTTTTAATTACATTTCTCTTCCTTTATTTTGTCTGGCTATGTGATTATATGGTAATCATGTAAGGCTATGGAAGAAAATATATGAGAAAAAATAAATAGTAGAAAAGCAGAATTGACACTGATAATAGGCATATGGGTGATTAGGTAGATACATATTTATAGAGATATTTTCTTCCTTCAAGATGGGGATAAAACGAAGTGAAAGTTTCTTTACAGTTTAAACTGCTTTTTGTCATGGTACTTGCAGAAGTAGCAATTGCTTGATAGTTTGGGGATTTCAAATATTTATATGTATAAAAACTTATTTTGAGAAATGCTTCAAACATATAGAAAGGTAAAAAAGGTAAAAATATCATGAGTACACAGGTGTTCAACCTCTATATTGAAAACAAATGTAATTAATAACCAAGTATCTGCCACTCATATTTAACAAAAAGTCATAATTTTACTTTTTGATTCAATTTTAAAAGCAGAAATATAACATTTTCATTCAAGTTGAAAATCTCTTTTAACCTTTTCCAAACATAGTTTACTTAGATTACATAATAAGCCTCGTTCTACTGGTATGTAAGTTTAAATAATTTCAAAGAAGCTCTAAAACGTTAAGGAATTATCAACTCAAATTTTTCAGAAGGCAAATGCTTGAAAATAAATATTATGCTGTTTGCCAGCATAATACTTTACAATTCTGTACTGTGGGAAATTTTTCTGGTGCCTATGCTCCATATACTTATTTTTCTCACTGTGCAACATTCTGTAGAAAGAACTTCAGTGTAAAACTGTTAACATTGGTTACTTTGGGTAGAGAGGATTGGATCATGGCAGAATTTTACATTCTCAATTATTTTGGTAATATTTAAAATATTCTGCAATAAACAAACATTGTTTTGGAATAATAAAATAGGTAAATGTTAGACATAGGTACTTTCAAATTATCTTCTAAAATTTATAAGATTTCTAAAATATGATACCAAATTCAATATCTTTTCACAATGGATACAATATGAAAAGAGCAGTTGCAATTGTTTGTGTTTGTTTATACATACAATATGTGTCTCATCTCTCTCTCTCTCACACACGCACACACACATCAGCAGTCAAATAAGTACATTATTTACTTATATTGCTTTTTCAAGTATGTTCATAAAATTTATAACAAAACCATGTTTTCTCTATTAAATTGTGCTACTTATGATAATTTGAAGGAATGCCATTATTTTTTATTTACTTTCTTTACAGAGAACCCCTTTCTAACCCAAAATGATGATCAATTTTTGTTTTCACACCTTTGAGTTATGTCACCTTGGAGGGGGAAGTAATGCTCTGCTAATTTAAGAAATTAGCAATGTGTTCCTAATTTGACAAGTCTACTCTGGGCTGTATAACTAAAAACTTTTTATGAGTCATTGATAGAAAAAAAATCTATCATACTGACACATGAAATCTAATAGTTAAAACCCATGTTTTTTATCATATGTGGTTTTCTGTTTGGGGGAGTAATAAAAATTTGAGTAAATCAAAAGCAAAGAATAATTAACATTTGAAGAAACGTAGAATTATATGTTGATTTTTACTTTTTATTTTCCTTATAATATAGGGTATTTTGGTCTCTGAGGTCTATTAATTCTATTTTAATATAGTTAAACTTTTTTATATAAATTAATTAAAATAAGTAGTCTATATTTTATGCTTTGAAAGTTGAGGGACATAGTTTCAAACGGTACCATGAATGTTTTAAACAATTTTTGCTTTTACAGTGCTTTATCTTAGTGACCATTGCTTTATATTATTTCTAGATAAAAGAGTGGCTATGTTTAAACTGTCAGATGCAAAGAGCTCTAGGAGGTGATCTGGCTCCAATTCCATCATCGCCCCAGCCCAAACTGAAGACTGGCCCTGTTACTCCCACATCGACAGTGAGCAAATCATCCCCACCGTCACAGCAGGCTTCCCCAAAGAAGGATACTACATCCAAACAGGAAATCTCAAAGGCACCTGAATCTAAAAAGCCACCACCACTAGTGAAACAACCAACGCTTCATGGTTCTCCCCCAGCCACGGCCAAGCAGCCTGCTGTGGCAGAGTCCTCACCTAAGCCAGCACCTCCCAAAGAGCCTTCTGTCCCATCTGAGCAGGCCAAGACCCCTGTTGCTGATGATAAACCAAAGCAGCCCAAGATGGTAAAGCCACCCACAGATATTGTACCTTCATCTGCGGAAGCAACAAAACCTGATATCCTGAGCTCCAGAGAACAGTTACAGGATCAGGAGAAAACCCCTCCTCTAAAAATAGATTCTGCCAAACCCTCACAAAGTTTTCCACCAACAGGGGAAAAAGTCACTCCATTTGATTCTAAAGCCATACCTCAACCTGCATCAGATTCAAAAATTATTTCACATCCTGGACCTAGTTCAGAGAGCAAAAGTCAAAAACAAGTTGATCTGGTACAAAAGAAGGATGAACCTAAAAAAGCACAAACCAAAATGAGTCCTAAACCAGATGCCAAGCCAATGCCAAAAGGGTCACCGACACCCCCTGGCCCACGACCTACCCCTGGCCAAACTGCCCCCACATCTCAACAGCCCCCCAAATCTCAGGAGCAGTCAAGGCGTTTCAGTCTGAGTCTGGGAAGTATAGCTGATGCTCCTAAGTCACAGCCTACGACTCCTCAAGAAACTGTGACTGGGAAACTCTTTGGGTTTGGGGCATCAATCTTCAGTCAGGCATCGAATTTAATTTCCACAGCAGGCCAGCCTGGACCTCAGTCACAAAGTGGGCCAGGGGCTCCAACAAAACAAGCCCCTGCCCCTTCACAGCCACCTACGTCTCAGGGGCCACCCAAATCCACAGGTCAAGCACCACCAGTACCTGCAAAGGTTACACCTGTGAAAAAGGAAACAAAAGCCCCAGTAGCTGAAAAATTAGAGCCCAAAGCTGAACAAGATCCAACAGTAAAAAGAACAGAAACAGAAAAGAAGACCCTACCCACTAAGGACAGCAAACCTTCAACGACTGAGCCACAAAAGGCTGTCCTTCCTCCAAAACCAGAGAAAACTCCCAAACCAAAATCAGCCTGTCCTCTCTGCAAAAGTGAACTCAACATAGGTTCTGAGGATCCTCCTAATTTCAGTACTTGCACTGAATGCAAGAATCGAGTTTGTAATCTCTGTGGATTTAACCCTACACCACACTTGACTGAGGTAAGCAATGCATATATTATATATGGATGTCAGTATATTGGTTTATTTTATAATATTTTGGTGGCAAAATTTATGAGCAAAATATACATTTCTAGTGAAGAAAACAAATCAATATTGATATCTTAGAAGTTTCAATTACTTATTACCTGCTTGCCTTCTTATTAAGAGTTTGTATTATTTGTACCTTTCTGGGTTAATGCACTACAAATAAGAAGATGAAATAAGTTGACAAATGAACATAACAATTATACCAATCCTTCATGAATGAACAACACAGAACTTTTGAGAACTAATTAGTTTTCACAAATAAATGCCAAATAAATGTTGTAATTTACTGTTCCCATTATCTGTAATCCTTCTAGTCTCTTTAATATGTTAAAAAGAAAAAAAAGTTTGGTTGATTGCACATCTATAAACAACATGAAATCTGTTATTTTCCAAAAACTGTCAAGAACTTCGTGTAAGTTAATAATGTTGCCTAGTAGAAAATAATGGTTCAAATATATTATGTCTAGGCTTTTTATAATTCTGTCTGAGATGTTATCTGGCATCAACATAATGGAGCACTTTGCGAGGAACTGTGGAAAGGAAAAAAAGATATATGAATTTCAACAACTAATGGGAATGATTTTTTTATGAGATGATGAGAATACTTTCTCTGCAATGTAAATATCCAGAAGGCAGATGGTGAATTTCTTTACCTAATATAGTTATAAAAGAATGACTCTGTAAGCATTAGTAGCACGTTATTCTATTTGGATCTTGGCAGAGTGGGCATTAAATGATCACTGCTGTCTTAGATAAGTAGCAACAATTGTTTTAATAAACATTTAATCAGTTAATTTAAAATAATTGTTCATTGCTTTTATGTAAACCAAAAATACTTAAAGATCATTTCACTCCACTCAATTTTGTAATTCATTGGAATGAAAAAATGGAAGAGATTTTATAACCTATATAAGAAGCTTTAGAGTTTTTTTTAGTAGTGATTTTGCATTAAAAATTTTTTTAAAGAATAAACCATAGGCAATTTTTATTTTTTACTTTAAAAAGATATTAAGTTGCCTTGACCTAATTAATGCCATATGGAAGTATTACCACTACAGGCTTAAGCAGATTTTTCTCCTCTTTAGCTATAATGAATAATGTTAACTAAGATTCATTTTAATGGTAGATAAATTTTGGTTTCTCTCAGCATTTTATGAGCAGTAACAACTATAATTATTGCTTACAGCCTTTTGGATTCAATATAAAAGCAAAACAAAAAAACAAACCTTAAATTTCTTTCATATTTTTAGAATAACTGTTTTTGGTTGTGCATTCATGGAGGAAAAAAAATTCCACTGCTATATTTATTATACATTTAAAAAATTGTACTCTTTAATGAGGAGCCTTCTGGTATCAACACAATGCAGTTAATTGAAGTAGTTATAAAATAAACTATACCACTAAAAACAAAACTATAATTTCTGCATCTAAAGTATACTTTCTGCACACTAAAACAAGTTTCTGTAGTGCAAGGGGAAGACTATAACTTATATTTTACATATATATGTATTTATATGCAGATGTATTATGTATATGTATACATTTGGACTATAGCGACCATTAGAATTTTGTCAGTGTCAGGAAGTATGAAATGAAAGCCCCTTACGTAGAGAAACAATAAACCTCCCAGGGAAATCTTTGATTTTCTGTGTGTTGGTAAATTATTATATTTCGGAAGTGGTAATTTGGAAAGGAGATTTTTTGAATGAAGCACAATTACCAAGGACGTGTGTAGAATTTTAATTGTTTGAAAAGTTTGAAAACATTAATTGTCTCAATATTTAGATGGTTTAGGTGAAGTCCTATTTTAAATATCTTCAGTGGGACTTAGATGATCTGTCCCTGTTCAAATTGTTTTGCTTCACTATAATTTCTTTGAATTTGGAAGATCATGTTTCAGAAGGAAAGAATATCTGATGTAACTAAAGGGACTCGTGTTCCTGGCTCTCCTTGACTGTTCTAATCTGCGTGAGGCTCTCAGTTAGTATAAGGCCTGATGACCTCTGGTTTCTACATAAAGTACACTGGCTGGCCTGGCATCAAGGGAGTGAATAAAGGTTTGTTGAGTTAATTCATGTTCACGTATTTCCTATTATTATTACCCCAACGGACTTTGGAGGAATAGCAGAAGGGATGAGTTGAAAAGAATGGCACAATGTGTTTATGTGTGTGTGTGTATGTGCATATATACACTTATATTATATGTATATAATATATAAATATATATACAGATATGCACACTTATATATAGACATATACATATGCATATGTATATATGCAGCAAATTCTAAATAGGATTCATGAGCTTAATTCGTGGTGCAATCCCACTATTCACACTAATAAATTTTTTCTCTTTTTTCTTAGTTAGGACTAGGAAAGCATCTCCCCCTTGATCCTTGCTTTGTTTCTGTTTTCTTCATTAGCATTGTGATATTTTTCTTGTGATCCAGTATTTTCTGCTGGGCTGGTTACTGTACTTTTATGCTAGTTCAAGAAAGCACATTCTGAAAATACTCAGACTTTATGCCTGAAGTGCAAAGAAATGGTATTGTCTGAGAAAGGAATCAATGATTTTCATTTACTTTGTAATAAAGCATATTAACTCTCCATTATCAGCCTTGTCTTCTCCTATACTACTGATAGTGAGGTAGGACTTCTTTTCCTGCTGGTGACACCCTGCCCCCCATCTCCCTTTGCTATTCTGCTCCTCTGGTGGTAAGAAGAGCTCCTCATAGTTTGTCATGGGTTGGGGAGCTATAGGTGGTATCCCTCCACCCCCACATATTCAGCAAACACAGCTGTCTCTAAGGTTGTTTCCTGTCTCACATGCAACACCCACACTGCACCTGAGGAGAGCCAAGGGCTTCCTGCAGGCCCTGGGGTGCAGCCAGACTTCAGCCTGAGCTTTACACTGTTTAACTGTTTGATGTATGAATGGTACTATATAATCCATTAACCTCTGACAGCAAGGGACAGGTCTCTCAGATTTTATTTTCTGCCAACTCAGGGAATATCTTGTCTTGGAATAAGTTTTAAAAGCAGCTGAAGGGCTTTCTGAAAGAGTTAGTCTTATAAAATTTGAAAGCATGCTGAGAAAAACAGCCCAACTTGGCAAGAAATTTACCTAGTGAATTTTAATTATTCTGATTTTGTTTAAATGCAAAGTGAGTCAAAATTAGTCATAGTGGATATGTTTTTTATTGTTTCTACTTCCCTTTTCTAAAGTAATTTTTACTATGAAAATAAGACTTAAAACCAAACATGTTTCCTCATGTTTCAGGAAGTTCTATAGTCATAATTTTGCTTCTTTGGTGAGATTATTAGGCATGGCCTAAGCTATGTAGAAATAGCTAGCATATATTTTTCACTAGGCAACAAATGAGCCTTTTGAGCTGATTAAGATCCAGTGGTATAACTGAGAACCCTCTAGATCTTTGCTCTCTAGCCGGAGTGGCTTCTGCATTCTCCATCAAATACTCAGAGATGGCTTAGTAGAGATGTGCTGCATTTCTTAGTTTGGCAAACACATAACATTTTCCCTTTACTTTAATGATTATTACTTACCATCATTACTTAATACTTTAAAATTCAATACTAAAAAACATTTAAATACACACACTCACACTCATACAAATACACACATGAAAATTTAAAGGTTAAAAGAGTGATCAGAAATCAATAAGGAGAAAAGAATTCTACCAATAATCAGCTTCAAAAGAATTACATAATGGAGATCTACATTCTACATGAAAATTTCTGGCTTCCATGGTAAAAAGGGACACCTGATGGCACTTTTTGTCTGACATAACAAAATTTATAAGCTGGTCTGTAGAAAAAAAAATTTTAGTCACTAATTTTTAGGAGAAATTTAATATGTTACTTTTTTAATGAGAGATATTTAATCAAAATATTCAAATACAGATTTAAAAAGAGATATTTTTGTTTAAACAAATTTCAACAAAAGAGTAATTTTCCCTTTAAAATTTTCTATGCACTTATATAGTTAATATTCTACTCTATGTGGTAGTTCTGTATCTTAATCAACATGTAGCATTTTCCCATGTGATTAAACACCTTAAATATTATTTAAAATGATTAAGTATTATCAATTCTAAGGATGTATGTTTTATTATACACATTCTCCTCACATTATCTATGTAGGTGGTTATCATTTTTTATTTTAAACAAGATGAAATTTTTTGGACATAAATATTTATATTTCTATTTCCCAAGGAAAGCTAACTTATACTAGGGTTACTAAATCAAGGGATAAGGATCCTGGAGTATCAGATTCCCTTTGGAGATGTGATAGTAGTTAACATTGCCACCACTAGTGTATGTGATTTCTTCCTCACTACGGCCTCTCCAAACTTGAATAATATCATTTAAAATAATATTTGTTAATTGAGAAGTCTATTAATGCTATAATATTGTTGCTTTGATTTGTAATTTTTTTCGATTACCAGTAGTTTTTTTTTTTTTTTAAATTTCAGATCTTAAATGTAAATAGATGGTCCTAATTATAATCCAGACAAAACATTGTGCAGACAATATTTGAAAAGGTAAATTGTTATCAATCATGCCGCTTTTTTTTTTTTTCTCATTCTAATGGGGCTATTTGATGAGGCCTATATGAGAAGCATTGTGCCGGTCATTTTTTCACAACACTGTGGGGTAGTTTTTATACCTTTTTGAGAGGTTAAGAGGATGAGTACCAGAGAGGAGCAGCTATCAATCTAAAAAGGAATAATTCAGAGGCTGAGACAGTGTTCTCTTTACTATGTTTAAATAACCCAGAAAACTAGGTAAAAATGCCACTTGTCCTGTGCTCTCTTACTTATAAGTTGTGTCAGTAGGTAATTGCTAGGAATTTTATACCAGCAAATTTATAAATGTGTTCATCAAATTCAGGTAACATTTGAGGCCCACAGAATAGTGGTGGCTGGGTTACA